TATTATGTAATGTTATATATATATATATATATATATATATATATATACACACCAGGGCTGTATTTTAAGTAAGGGCCGTTCTGTTGTGTACACTAATAGATGACGCATGTGTAACAAATGCTTACATCGTATCCTGGCATTCCTTGGAAACAACTGTGCTCAGTTACAGCTGTATAGGTACCTTGTACGGTCAGTCCTGTATCTTCAAGTTTAACAAATCATCAGCAGCGTATGAGATACGGTTAATGATGCGTTTTTAGTCGGCAAAAAACCTGTCTGTTGCAAACATTCACCGGCAGATTTGTGCAGTTTACGAAACTTCCTACTGACATGCTGACAGAAAATTTTTTTACTCCGACATAATGACTCTCTCTACAGCTCAGTCAAGAGATATATTGGACTCTTTTGGCTGGGAAGTTTTTCACCATTCCTCATTACAGGCCAGATCTTGCGCTAAATGTTTTTCATCTTTTCCGATGTTTCAAACTTTATTTTGGCTGCAAATAGTACAACGATGACGAAGACGTAAAAGTGGTCATGACCTCTTGGTTATCGAAGCAGGTTTCAAGTTACTATGAAGAGAGTATTCTGAATTTGGTTGTAAGGTATGATAGGTGTTTCAGCAAACTTGGCAACTATTTTGAAAGAAAGAGTTACCTAAGTAAAATCAAAAAATAAATTTGCTTCATGAAAATTTTCTTTCGCCTTGTTCTTATTTTCAATTGGCCCTTACTTTAAAAAAAGCCCCCATATGGATACACATAACATAAAAAAATAATTATGTTATAAAAGATTTGATTTCAAAATTTTTGAAAATTTACAAACTCGTAAGTAAATACATTTATACAGTTTTTAAGAAAAAATAAAACTGATAAAACGACACAAATTCTAAATAACACGCAAAGGGCTCGACTGTATAAAAAAAGAGATATTGCTTAAAGCATAAATGTAAATGGGTGTGTCCTTATGACGTTACGAAACGAAATTTATTTCGAAAACATAGATGTTGATATGAATTGCTTATTTTTCTTTAAATATTGTATCAAAACATTGAAAAAAAGGAATTCGAAATTAAATACTCCAAGGTGGCCATATTGTTTTTATAAAATAAAAAAAAGCATGGTAGGAGCATGAAGTTGACGAGTCTTCACACAGAAAAAAATTTTATTAATATCTATTATCTTAAATTAATGTCTTTACCCTAAAAGGAGTAGCAACTAATTTTACATAAAAATGGTGTTAAACTACAAAAAAATCAAGGACAGTTCCCTCTGCAGTGAACACCAAGAATCACTACTTCATGTAATGTAACCGCCATTATATTTGTTATTCAGAAAACACTAAAATTTTTAATTTCAGATAGATATGAAACACGCAAGAGTCAGTAAAGTTGTTTTTGCTACACAATATAAAGCAAGAATTATTAATTTGAGATGCATATTTGCAATATATCTTAAAATAAAATTAGTTTTTTAATGAAACATACACACAGCACAGAGAGACTATTAATGAGAATTCGAAAAAGGCTTAGCAAAACCGAAGCGAAATGAAATTAGATATTTTAAAATTTTTCAATTTAATTAACAGATTTATATAAATCACCTTACGAGATCCTAATTTTCTTAATTACACAACAAAAAACATACATCCATTTGCATATATAAACAAAATCTGTTGTATAATCAACAATATCTATAATATTTATATGCATTTATAAACAAAAAAAATCGATCGCTTGAGGAATTGTCTGACGCCAACATTGGCGGAAAAAATTCATGATTAGAGCGAAAACATGTGATATTAGTAAGTATAAGTTTTCTCATTTCTTAAAGTTTAATTTTAATTACATACTTTAAAGTGTATGTGAACGCTTGATTCGGCATTAACTTAAAATGCCACACCGAGGGTGTGCGGTATTGGTCCTTGTTAAATTGTTCTACCGTAAAGTGCTCGACTTCGCGTGCAGGTCGTCGGGCTACCGAAGCAGGGGTGCCATCCCCTCTGCAGAGGATCAAAATTGTGATGGCATGTCTTCGGATCATCCTCAGGGATATTTCCCAGACCGTCGTCAATAGCCCATTGTGCAGCTCTAGTGCGATGTAAATGAACTACAACAACATAAAATGCCACACAATTTTTAGAATTTCTCTGTACGAAAATCGGATGCACATGAAAAGTCCTTTTAAAAATTTAGACTTTTTTTTCATTTTTAAAAGAATTGCTTTTCTTTTACAATAAGAAAGGAAATGATTTTAATTTAAGACAACAGAAAAAATATTTAGTTAAATTTTATCAAGGTCTAGTAATAAAACTTAATTTTATTTTACAAATTTATAGTTACTTCATTAAGCTAATCTTTTTTACCAGTGTACTTACTAGTTTAAACTGGATAAAACATTAGTTAGTAGATGTTTTGAATTCAGATGCTAAACAAAACAAAACAGAGCATTAATAATAATAATAATAATTGCAGGATGAATAACCCTGCAGATGGTAAGGAAAAAATGAAATCTGTTCATTTCAATACAGCAAATATCGCTTTAAAAAATAAACTCTAAATATTATATATATTCACTATTAATCAATATTATTAAACTCTTTAAAAGTTAAAGCTTCTATGAGAGAAACTC